ATTTCAAAATGTTGAAATTTTGCAGGCTTCAACAAAGTAACTCTCAAGAACAAAGACACAAAAAATGGCAACAACCAATGAGCAAACTCCTTTGGAAAACCCATGACTACCATGGACTGATGGTCATAGTTGTAGAAAAAAACACTAGAAAAATTACTTCACATTTTTATGGCTTCTTGATCTTTAGAAAAACCACATTTTGGTTCCGGACTCGTTCCGAGTCCGGAACCGAAATGTGATTCTTTTGGACTCAAAATACTTATTAGGTGGAAAAAAAGTTACCATTCTATATAAAATGCGGTTGGCGTTTTACCTTAATGGCCGTTTGGAACGTTAAGGTAAAATGCGGTTTATTACTGCATTTTATATAAAATGCGGTAATGAACCGCGTTTTACATATTTTGTGGGCCCACCAATAACTCTTCTGCGCTTAACTGACATAACAATAATTCAAATATGTAAAACGTCCTTTTAAACTGCGTTTTACTTCCAAAAAGTTTGACCCCCTCCCCCCTCCCCGGATTGGGCATTGCCTTATTTAAAGGCGTTAAGGGTTTTGAGAAAAATCATTCAGAAATACTTCAACTTCATGATAAATTTTTCTTGTTGTTAAATTCTCAAGCTTTTTTCATAATGTCTGAAGAGCGAAAAGTAAGGGTTTTATTATATTGGGGGGGAAGGTGAGGTTGTGGTGGCGAATAATTCAGTGAGCTATAGTTTATCTCCACAGAGTCATGTTAAGTTGCCACTTACAATGGAGTACGATAGACCGGTATCGTAGTTATGCAATAATATGAGGTTGATTAAACGTTCGATGAATCTTAAAATAACCGAAAGATATCCGTATTCTGTGACTCCGCAAGGGGTTGCTTGTTACGCTGAGTTTAACATCGAGGATGATGAAACTCTGAGAGATTTTTTGGGGACTCAGGATGAATACCGAGAAATTATTTTGATAAAAATATTGGAAATGTACATAAAACATGAAGAAGTTTGCAATAATGATGTTGCGCAAATCAGTGATAACCCTTAATCATTGGGTGGTTATTCTGGAGCAATTTTAGCCCAACAGGTTCCGGTTGAAAGAGTTTGGCTGGATCTAAACTTATCTCCACGGGCGAACAAGGAGCGAGGAAATAATTTCTCTCTTACTTTACATAATCCACAAGACGACCGATAAACTTCAATTTTCCTTTGTGTAACAATGTTTATTTTTGTTGTATTGAATTTGTATTAACACTCATATATTCCACAGGGGGTACCGTCCAGATATGAATTTTACAAGTTATGACCCCACGCCAAGTTGGAATATGTGTAGTTTTGGTGTATTGGATCACGTTGGTCCATCCGGAAGTCATCATCAACAGGATAATGTCTATCATGGAATGTCAACGCATTACGACTTGTAAGTGAAGTGATATAGCTATATGTAAAGTATTTATCAATTTGAGTAGCTTATTATTTTGTTGTTTTTGCAGTAAAAACGAGCAACTTGATGGTCCTGACCTCACTCAGTTGCCCGTAGATGCTGTATTTACTCGGGATTTGGCAGATGCGTAGATTCAAGAAGATAATAGTGATTATGAAAACAATGACGATGAGTCTATAGATGACATACCCTTCCATGATGAGGGTGATGAGGAGGAGGAAGTGAATGTCGAACCTGAGCTGACGAGGGAGCATACTCCACCTCCCGTTAGACCAAGAGTGTACGAGTCCCATATGCCGTTTCATTCAAGGCATATTCCCTACCTTGATAATTTGCCAAGTATGTTGGATGTGGATGCCCTCACAAGGGATCTTGACGAAATTCGGTCAGCAATGTGGGATGAGTCTAGACCAACGGTGCTGGCAAAGGGCATATTTTTTCCCGATAAAGCTCGCCTAACCAGGGCTTGTAAAATGTACAGTGTAAGAGAGTGTCGTGAGATGATAGTATGGGAGTAAAGTTTGGAGGTATACAAGGTTATTTGTTGTAGATTGTTTACGGGTTGTCACTGGATGTTGCGTGCGACTAAGAAGGAAACAGGGTTGTGGAAAGTAGGTAAATATATTGGCACCCATGTTTGTGAAATGGACACATTCAATGGGAATCACTTCAACTTGGATGTTGACTTGATTTCTCTTCAACTGATTCCACACATTGAAGTGTCCATTAGGTACAAGATCAAAGAGTGTATTACATCCATCCAACAGGAATATGGGTATACTATTACCAAAAAAAGGCATATCTTGGGCGCAAACGTGCATTTAAAATTGTTTATGGTGACTGGGATAAGTCATTTGCATCTCTACCCAGGTACAAGGCCGCACTGAAACACTTCAACCCCGGGACTGTGGTGGAATGGAAGCTTGAGCGAAGTGCAGGAATCCCGGAATATTTATTCAAATATGTGTTCTGGGCATTTAAACCAGCAATTGATAGTTTTATGCATTGCCATCCGGTAATTTCCATAGACGGTACTCATGTCTATGGAAAGTATGATATTAAGCTATTGATCACCATTGCAATAGAGGCCAATGGACAAATATTTTCACTAGCTTTTTCCATCTGTGCCAATGAAATCCAAGAGACATGGACGCTATTTTTGAACCACTTGAAGCAACATGTTGTCAAACAATGTTTAGGTATTTGTCTACTATCTGATTGGCATGATAGTATATTAAGTTATGTGGTGCATTTACCTTAATGGCAGGAACCCTACGCATACCATAGTTACTGTGTGAGGCACCTAAAGACCAATTTCCAGAAGAAATATCCTAACAAAGACTTGCATGATTTAATATGGATGGCTGCAACCGATCACCAGTAGTGCAAATTCAGGAGGCGCATGGAATCGATCCGGCAATTAGACGAAAGAGCCTATAATTGGTTGATGCAACATGAGCTTCACAAGTGGACATTGAATGCTGATGGTGGCAGACGATGGGGAACCCTGACTACAAATGTGTCGGAGTCTTTCAACAGGTTATTGAAGTCTGCACGTGGATTGCCTGTCACTGCCATGGTCCAGATGACATTCAAACAGATGGTGGAGAGGTTTGTTGAAAGGCATAGAGGTGCATCAGAATTGATGGGGAGGGGTGTTGAATTTATACCAATATCGATGAAAAGATTTGAAAAAATCAGGAGGCTAGCACATTGGCATTCATATTTACAGTATGATCACGACTGGGTGTTTTTGAAGTTCGCACCGCTATCCATCAACACCGGGGGAATAATATACACACCATAAATGAAGCCAGCAGGTTGTGTTCATGTGGGAAATGGACCATCTACCATATGTCGTGCTCACATGCCATGAAGTTCTTTCAACAAACAGGTTTAGGAGCAACCAACTATGTTGATAGGAAATACAGTGTTGCTGCATACTTAAACACATATAGTGGCCAGTTGCAGCCAGTAGGTGCTGAGCATTATTGGCCACTAGAACTATTTAAAATGTTGTTTAACAAGGACTATTTTCGCAAGCTACAAGTGCAAAAGAGAACGCGTATACGGAACCAAATAGATGTTGGTGATATCGTTTATGCGCGTAAATGTGGCATATGCTCGCAAAAAGGACATGACCATTGTAAATGTCCTTCAGCTGGTTTGGGTGGCGGTGGTAATCTAGCTCCTAGTGCAAGTTCATCTACTGTGCCCAACTATCAAGGATACACGTAGTGTTTTTTTTTGTAATATTGTTTGTAATAAGTGTATGTACTTGTTTATATTACAAGATGTATCAAATAAAATTATGTTTCCACAGTCTTGTTACATCTTATTGATATTTAACATTTTTCAGTTGAGTAAATTAATGAATTTCTCCCTCCCATTCATGTAATCAAAAATAGTATTGGATTAAAAAACGGAAATTTTTTACGTTCACTTTCGAGTTTCACTCTAAAATTATTATAAAACTACATTGTCATAGAAGGAAGATGTTTGATAAATAACTGAATATATATAGCACAGTTAAATACTACATTTTTTGTGTTGTCTTGTCAGTCTGAAAAGCTGCCCGATTGTGAAAAAGTTATTTTGTATCAGAAAGAATCTTTAACACACCAAACATAGCGCGGTTAAATACTATGTTTTGTGTGTGGTCTTGTCGGTCTAAAAAGCTGTCCGACTGTGAAAAAGCCATTTTGTATCAGAAAGAATCTTTAACACGCCAGCATAGCGTGGTTAAATACTACATTTTATGTGAATATATATATATATATAACGCGGTTAAATACTACGTTTTGTGTATTGTCTTGTCGGTCTGGAAAGCTGTCAGACTATGAAAAAGTTGTTTTGTATCAGAAAGAATCTTTAACACGCCAAACATAGCGCGGTTAAATACTACGTTTTGTGTGAGTATATATAGCGCGGTTAAATATTACGTTTTGTGTGTTGCCTTGCCTATAAATAACGGGCGCATTCTAGTTGTTTTCTGTGCTTAACCATAACAAATAGCAAAACTTTCCATAAAAGCAGGGTTTTTTTAGCTTTAACAAATGTCTGACCGCATGTATGTGCCAATGTGGCAAACGATGTATGATAGCGGACTATTGGGATGACAGTCAAGTTGGGTGCACATACTGGATGTGTGTGAACAAGTTTGGAGGCAACAACGGAAATTTTTGCAGCTTTGAGGTATGGCTTGATGAACCTTGTGAGCAGGAAAGCTACAAAAAATCTTTGCAGTATCTTCATGATTTGACCAAAAATAGTGGGAATATGAACGAGAATATAAACGAGAAATTGCAGAGTTGAAGGAAAAAATCAAAGAGGTGGAAGAAGAAAAAAATAAGCTAGAAGAGAAATTTAAGTAGTTGGAGCAGAGAATACTAGGTGGTGGTGACTAAACAATGACATGTATGTGTTGAGTGTAGTACTTTATCTTTATATTTCCCGTATCATGTGTTTTTATTAGTTGTGTTGCATTTAAATTATGTTAAGTTTCTATGTTTGTGTTTGTATTGTAGTGTCAAAATAAAGAAGAAGCGGAGAAATAAAAATATAATGCGCATATTATGTAAGCATAAAAAATTGTTGTTATTACTTACATAAAATAATATTTACATAGCGTACATAAAATACAAAAAAAAAGAAAATCAATGTGTCCCACAGCTTGTGTGCTTCAATGCAGCCGCTGGCCTGAGGCGTATCCCATCCCGCCCAGATACGCTATCAGGATCATCCTTATTACGTCGCCTCTTTATATGAGGATGCGTTGCAGTATGATCGTCGGTAGCTCAATATAAGAAAATATATATTAGTAATGTATGTGTTAAGTTAAAAAAATTTCTTACCATGATTTCGTCGGGCTCCTGAATATAAGCATCCGTCGCATCCTGCTCAGCATCGCACAAAGTTGCCTCCGTGACGGGCTGGGATGAAGCCTTAATAACAAAATTATAAAGTTATTTATTGCGAATCAATGAGATAAAAACATATTTAAATTTAATAGTAATACAAACATATATGCGCCTGTGAAAGATCCACACCACCCGTCGACGATGAGCCATAACTCAGTCGGCGCCCACCATCCACATCTCGGGTCGGCCGATCCGCAGCAGCGGTCGATAGGCTTGAAAACATCTGCTCTCAATCATGTCCGGTAATGCTCGTGCCCTTGATCAACAATGAACCTAACGGGATCATCTGCGATGCGGCTGGATTGAACTCCAGCTGAAGGTTGTACGACGGCATGCTGCTGGGATACTAGTATGGATGATGGAGGTCATCCGACAGATCATCTCCAACATCCTCATCAAGGCACCTCAACGCCCCCTTGCTGGGGACCACCTCCTCGATGGCCTCCACGACCCCGTGGGATAGCCCTGCCTCGTGGGACAACCCTGCCTCGTCGTCCCCTCGCTCGTGGGACAGGCATACCTTGATGGTAGTGCTCTGGCGCCACAAAAGCAGGGACATACTCTAAGCGCTCGTCCTCTCTAGCTCGATGTAGTGTCCGGGCAGCCAGCTCTGTAATCTGCCGGCCATACTCCTGCAAAGCGATCGCAGGATCGCCGGCATGTTGTTGCATCTGCAGTCCCAACTGGTGGACTAAATGTAGACCAATAGCCTGCACAACATGTAAAATATAAATTACAGAACTCTATATCACAGTTATAAGTAAGAATACCAAATAACATACCAGTGCCTCGTGCCTCCCGGCGTATGGAACGTGCCGACTGCCAGCTCGATGAATGGGGTTCCCGACGAAAAGTCGGGTAACGCCACGGTACCAAGGCATATAATCATGCTCAGTATCCTGTGACTTGGTGAAGGGGGGCGGAATCAGGTGAAATCGCTGGTCCCAAGTAAATATCTGATCTTGTATCCATGCCAAATATTGGTCGTCCACCCTGGTACAATCATCCCGCTTGTAATGTGTGGTCTCCCAGGTGGTCGATGTTGGTACGATATGCGGCTTGCCAAACTGGCAAAGTACTCGCTCGGTGACATGATGCTCCACAATATCAAGGCAGAACAACGGGACAGAAGAGCCCCACATAAGTCGGTCGGCCAAGCAATAATCGGGCAAGGCAACTATCAATGCGTCACTGTATGGCGTCCAGATGAACTATGAAGTAACAACAGAAAATGTCAGTATACGCAACTTGTGTTTGAAGCAATGACAAGTAAACTTAGATATACATTTACCTATGCGCCGTCCAGCAAATCCAGTATATCCCTACACAATGAGAGATTATGCCGAGCCTCGTACTCGCGCGTATGTACTTGTTGGAGTACCCACCTCCTAGCTAGAGGGAGCAACTCCGGTGGTACATTTGGATCTAATGGTGGTAGAGGTGGCTGCAACTGCAGAAATCGCTCCCAGACCCAAACCTAACATAAAAAGTTAAAGTAAAATTTAAGATATATTTTTACTAGGTATGTTAAAATGAATAGAGTATTTGAATATGTTGTCACCTGTAGTAGCGGCAAGAATCCAACAACCTCACGTTGGGTTCCCATGATCGCCCGACACATATGCCAGTACAAGTAGGCGAGAACAGCAGAGCCCAGCTGTACTGGGGTAAATCATCTACCCGCTCAAGATGATGAATAAATCGCAAGCTGACTAGGTTTCTCGAAGTGTTCGAGAACAAGACCCCCCCAAACAACAAGAGTAGCAGCAACCTCGTATACCGTTCAACATGATAATCCGGTGTATCGCCATCGATCTGAGGATGCAATGCCTCCAACCACAGTCGAATAGTCATCAACAGAAAATGACTGGTCCCATACAGTACATTCTCATCCTCTGGCCAGAAAGCAGTGAGCCGCTGCAGCATGTCCAGGTACTGCACAAGTGTCATCTTTCTCATGCCAGGCGGTAGAGCAATGGGCAGCCCATATAAAACCTCCATGTCCTGCAGTGTGACGGTGGCCTCGCCAATGGACAGGTGTAATGTGTGCGTTTGCGCTCGCCACCGCTCTATTAGGGCCATGGCTAAAGACCAATCGAGTTGCAGCCTCCCTATCTCAATCATCTTGTAGAAACCCGTGTCCTGCAGGCACACGACTACACGGTCATGGAGAATTCTAGCATGCAGAAAGTCACACATGTCGTCCACTATCCTGGCGCAGAGAGCATAGGTCAGTAACTCACTCTCCCATATGTGGGCGAACCTATGATCGCCTTGTAACGAGAGCAGCTCATCGTTGGAAGGTTCGGGATGAATAGGCGGCACATTCATGCCGTCTACTTAAATTAAACAACATTAATTACATGTTAGTTTTATAATTTTATATGTTTGTTTGTAAATTAAATAATTAAATTTTCATAATTAAATATTCACATATGGGTTCCAGGCTCGATATTTGGAGCCTAGTAGTAGGGATGAGCATTCGGTATGTCGATTCAGTATTTAAGAATTTTGATTCGGTATTCAGTTTATCAATTGTGTATACCAAATACCGTACCAAAGTATTTTGGTACGGTTCGGTACGGTTTCGATTTAATATTCACTAAATAAGCAACATTAACGAGTGACAATTCTCATATGTTCAATGCCCTGTTGTCTAACTGTTCATCCAAGAAATACATATACAATGAAATTGAAGAAGAAAATAATGAAATTGAACTAACAGAATAACGAAATGTTGCTGACAACGAAATGTTGTTGTCTGCTGTCTAGCAGAACAGCGAAATGCCTTAAGCCCTTAATGGCTTACTCCACCATACAAAAAAATGTGACAGTAGCATTGTAAAAAGGTTTAAAAAAAGAGTCAATCTTTAGCAGTTCTAGGAAAAATTATGGAAGAAACTAGAAACATACCTTTGAATTTTGATTCTTTAAAGTCACTTGCAACAACATCGATCTCTTTCTGAATTTGTGAAACTATCGCAACAGCAGCCGATCTCTTTCTGTATTTGGTCTTCGTTTGCCCGGAATTTGTGAAACTATCGGAATGCTAATGCTAAACCCTAAATCGGAATGACTTTATGAGGAGTGGGGAGTGAGTACTGAGTGAGTGAGTTCGTCTGTTCGTTACTGCTAGTGCCTAATGCAGTAATGTTAATGCCTACTTTAGTTTAGACCCTAATTGAGTAGAGAGTGGGCTTGGGGCTTGGGGCTTGGGCAGTTGGGCTGGGGTGCTGGAGTGGGCAGTAGGCTAGGAAATATATTAAAAGATTTTGGGCTAGGGCGCTGGCAGAGGTCCAACTTAAAAAAAAGTCTTTAGAAATTCGGTAATTTGGTATACTGAAATTTCAAGATCTTAATACCGAAGACCGTACCGAAATTCCAAAAATATAATACCGAATTAGACCAAAATACCGAAAAAACCTAAATTGAAATACTGAATTAATTCGGTCCAGTTCGGAATTCGATTTTTTGGATTTTATGGCCACCCCTACCCAGTAGCCCCAATTTATCCTGATTTCTTCTATGTGTTAGTTTTATTATTTTACATGTTAGTTTGTAAATTAAATAAATATTTTTTGTAAATAAATATTCACATATGGGTTCCAGGCTCCATATTTGGAGCCCAGCAACACCAATTTATCCTGAATTCTTCTATGTGTTAGTTATATTATAATTATATATGTTAGTTTGCAAATTAAATAATTAATTTTTATAATTAAATATTCACAAATGGGTCCCAAACTCGATATATGGAGCCTAGTAGCACCAATTTATCCTGAATTCTTCTATTTGTTAGTTTTATTTTTTTACATGTTAGTTTTATATGTTTGTTTGTAAATTAAATAATTCATATATTGGTTTCAGGCTCGATATTTGCGGCCGAGTAGCACCAAATATATGTTGACTACAATTGGACAGAGTTTGTGTTTGATCTATCAGTTATTTTGACGTATTTTTGAGTATAAGAGATACTTAAACTACAGGGAAACTACGCTAAAAGACACTACATTTTACTACGCTAAAAGGTACTACATTATACTACGCTAAAGGGTACTACATTTTACTACGCTAAAAGGTACTACATTATACTACGCTAAAGGGTACTACATTTTACTACGCTAAAAGGCATTATATTTTACTACCCTAAAAGGCACTATATTACTAGTCTTTAAGCCAATAAATAATTTAAACCAAATAAAACACAACAAATATATTGTAATCACAAAAATACATATAAAACAGTAATAGCAATTTATTAATATTTTTATTAACAAATAATAATGATTTCACAATTTCTACATATCTTTTTACAACGTTAATATCTTAGTCCGAATAAAAATAACATACCAATTTAATCGCAAAAAAAAAAAATACAAAACAACATACAACACATTCAAAACAACTAATATGCATTATTTATACAAGTTTGGATATAAACTAAATCGGGATACCTCGTTTTATATTTTTCGAAAAGTTGAAGATTTGAAAATTTGACTCTGAAACAAGCAATCCATAACAATAAAATGTTTGGCTAGGATATGGGACCAACTTGAATTAGTTTTTGTGGGACGGGTGGGGTCCACTTGAATTTTTTATCGAGTTAATGGGGGGGACCGCTGTTCGTTTTTTTAAAAATGGAGGAGAATAGGTTCTGTCCAGAAACGTGGGGTAAAGGGAAGGGAACGATACTTATATAGGTAAAATGCGGTTTAATACAACATTTTATATAAAACGCAGTATTGAAACGCGCTATATATAAAAGTCGCATCGGCTTTCAGGTAAAGCGCGGTATCAAACAGAGGCGGATCCAGGATTTGATGACTACGGGTGCCATTATTTTTAATACAAACCTACCACTAGCGAAGGAGATTGAATTAGGGTATACATTCTGCCGGTTCAACCCATTTTGAATTAATTCTGTTCGATTCTATCCGATCCATTATGAAATATTTCAATCAGTTTACTAGATTTTTAGTGCTTAAATAAATATGTGATCACCAAAACAACTGTCCAATTCGATCTAATTCTCTAAATGCAAATTCTATTTATTATGATTAAAAAACATAAATAAAATTTAAGTTAGCAAATACATTTAATCAACCTACATATAGCTGGATAGTATTACGTTTATTGATGCCATCACTGTAAAAAAAATCAAGAAAATATAACATTAGATGATTAAAAAATAATTAAAATCACATTCAAATAAAATATGAAGATCTAGAATGAGAAAAAGGAAACAACTATATAATTCTAAATAAATAAGAATAATGAGGTTGTACAAAGTGAGTGAAAATACAAAAATGAAGAAAATAAAAGGAATTAAAAAGAGGAGCAACTACAAAAATGAAGAAAATAGAAAAAATTAAAAAAGATGAGCAAAAATAGAAGGAATTAAAAAGAGGAGCAACTACAAAAGTGAAGAAAATAGAAAAAATTAAAAAAGATGAGCAAAAATAGAAGGAATTAAAAAGAGGAGCAACTACAAAAGTGAAGAAAATAGAAAAAATTAAAAAAGATGAGCAAAAATAGAAGGAATTAAAAAGAGGAGCAACTACAAAAGTGAAGAAAATAGAAAAAATTAAAAAAGATGAGCAAAAATAGAAGGAATTAAAAAGAGGAGCAACTACAAAAGTGAAGAAAATAGAAAAAATTAAAAAAGATGAGCAACTGGGACCACAGGAGAAATAAGCACCAGCTTGGAACCAGGTGAGATTCAAACTTGGGCTTTTCGAGTGGATATTTGGCAACTCAACCATGACACCCACAGTCATTTTGTTACCTTTGGGTGCCACTCAGAACCTATATCATATTTTCCTGTAAAATACCAATACATATATAGAATTTTACCCGAGTGTCCGGGTGTCGTACCACCCTAAGGTCTCTGCATAGATCCGCCCCTAGTATCAAAACGCGTTTTATATAAAACGCGGTAACAAACCGCGCTTTACCTTAACGTCCCAAACGGCCGTTAAAGTATAGAATGGTAACTTTTTCTTTTTTTACACCTAAAAAAATATTTTGAGTCCAAAAGAACCACGTCTCGGTTCCGGACTCTTTTAGTTCCTATATCTATTTTAGTAATAGTACGTGCATTGATTGCTTTGAAACATTTCTTTACTCTTTCTGCAGTTAGGTCGAGCATTTTTGGACAAGATACAGAAGTCGAGCAATTATTATACCCAGTAGTACAAGATATAAAAGTCAAGCAATTATGACCAGTTATTGACTAACAATACAAGAATATGTGCATATAAATTACTATATCTTTTGAAAATCTATATATTATATATTACTAATACAATATCCTTACAAAATATCATTCATCTTTTTTACCATTTAAGATAACTTTTACACTATACAAAATAATTATTAAATTATTTATATACTATATTAAAAGCACGAAACCTCTTAAAAAAATATCGTTCACATTTTTTTACCCTTGGTAAGTGTATTTTACTTTGGATAAAATTGTAATTATAAACTCTAAAAAAAATTCCTATGGAATAAAACTAAAAATAGCCGTTTATTTCTGTTTTAGTTGCATACTGCCTTTTATTTATTTAGGATTAGGATTCACTTTAAGTTTAGAATTCTTTTACCAATAAATATTTACTTACGTCTCTTCTTTGTTTAGGTTTAGGATTTACTTTAGATTTAGGATCCTTCAAAATTTCCTTATGCTACAGATCTTTTTCGTTTTAATTATTGTATGTAGTTTTATTTTCGTTTTAATTGTTGTAGGTATCTTACAATTGATCATTGGAAGAAGCTCTTAAAATTTTATGGGTTTGGATACGGCAGTAACGTCTCTAGAGGCAAGATTTATTTATATTTGTGATAAACCTTTTAATATTTAGTGTGTTTTTTAAGTTAAGTAATAATAACGGCTCATATATTCTTGACATACTATTACAAATTGAAAAGTTGTTAGTTTTGTATTTTATTTTTACAATTTTTCATATATGATTATTAATTTAATGACTTATTTACAGATTTTGTACAAGTTATTTAGACTTTGGATCATTGCATTCCGTAACAAATAAAATAATTAGGCATTCTAACTCATAATATAAATTCAAGATCTTATTACTTCAAGATTATTTTTCCTTATATTTTATAATTAAAATTGCTAATTGGTGTATCAGCTCAAGTTGCTCAGTATATCAAATTCGAAACACGTAACTTGAGTATAATCGGGTGGACCAACTAAATTTTAAAAGAAAAACATTACAAGATATAGGTGGTAGTATCATAAATAGAGAACGTAGAGGAGATAAAGTTGGCTAGATAAAGTAATACTTTCATCTTTTATTAGAGGTTTAATATGCAATGTCAAAATATGGTTGCTACTAGGTAGGTTTAATATTTTGATAACACAATCTTTCTATCAACCGACATATGATACCGATTTGGGATGGATCCAAAGTAAGTTGTGCAAAGAACAACTAGGAAGATATAAAGGATAAAAATTTCAAGAGACAAATATTTCAGTTGTTGTTAATCTATCATAGTAGTAATAATTATCATGAATTATATGTTCTTTATTCAAGTTCCATAACAAGGAACATAGTTTGTTAAATTGATTTGAATAGTATTTGTACTAAGTTGGCTGGACTTGATAACCAAAATGTCCTAGACGACATAACTATGGTCTGTAATATTCCTAAACAATGCATATTTTAATATACGTAATTTCTTTTTTCTGCTAAAAATAGAGCCATATAAAGATGAACGACCTTCTTTCGACACCATCCCCTATAATATTTTGATATAATGAAATAAGTACCGGAAGAAACTACAAAAATACAAGACTGGATTCAATTAAACCCCTAAATATAATTTATATTGAGAAAATTACATTCATTGTCAGTTGACCCAACATATCAATAAAATTAGGCCCATATTTTAGGTCCTTACCCGATTTAACCCAGATTGTACATATATTGTAAAATAGTTTTCATCGGTTAGCCCAAAGCACTTAAAAGTTTTTTTCTTTTTTTTTTTTTCATTCCCAATTCTCTCCCACCACGTCTCTTTTTTTTCTTTCTAACCCAAACAGATCCCATCATCCTCTCTTACCCTAGCCTTCATTATTCCTCCTCCCCTTACCCTCTACATAATTCT